ACAACAGCTCTTACATCTATTTGTCACATATTGCAGCTATAATCTTCTATAGATTTCTTGTGTTAGAATATTCACCACATAATGTGTATAATTTTGTTAGTTTTACACTAAGTATTATGGAAAGACATAAGAACGTATTAGGTTCAACTTTGCATATGAACTGCATAATAAATAAATGGCAGGGGGAAAAAAATCTGAATTCGTCTAATTGCTACGCAAATTCTACCTTTAATTCAACGGAATTAAACGGCGTGATACACCCTTTCCTGCATGTAAAATACACGACGTGTAAATCGATTTCCACACAATCTGTCACGAATGGGATCCATCCTGAATGGCAAAATGTGTATGTACGAAGGTTTATAGTTCGAGATGGTGTTATTGTCCTGTTTAGGTAGTTTGTTCAACTTTTTGTCTTGCGCTTTAAATTGATGATTCAAACTTTGTAGAGTGATAGTTCATGCCATTACATATTTTTAGAATCAATTTTTGAAACACGGTTACATTAAAAACATATTTTAAAAATTAATTAACCTAATCTATTTTGAAGAGCGCCCTCTCTTTTATCCTCGTATCGACGTACCTAATAATATTGCATTTTACTTTTATGTCAGCTTTTTTTCTGGTCAATATAGAGGTTTCTTTCAGCTAGATTCCTTTCGTGTGCATTCAACCTTCTTTCAAATTGGTCTTACAACTGATTGGATTCAAATGTTTGTCCCTAAACGGAAAATGTGCTTAAATAGCGCATTGTTCTTAATATGTTTGCCATGTTTTGTCAATGGAGGCTTCTTGTAGTAGTGCCCCCCTTTTAAATATAAGACGGATTATCTACAAACTATATTAAAACCGTGTAACAATTTAGGAAATTTATCAAGGAGAATTACAAAAAATGATTATAGATTATTGAAAATAAAATGTAGCCATGCCCATACATTCAGTAGAATTGCCTTAGTAAGATATATTGAATGTCTTAAATCATAGATGTAATTTTAATTTTAACGGGGCATTGCAGGAAAATGTGAAAAATAGTATTTGACAAAATATTGTGCATCAGTTTATAAAATGTACATTGTATGAGTGATGAGGGGCAGCATTGTAATGAAAAGCTTGACAATTTTGGCCCTGGAATATAGTTTTTGATTTTGTTGTTACATAAGAGGGTTTTCATGACATGCAGTGAAATCACAGGGTTATATCAATGCCCTTCTAGTTCCCAATTTGCGACATAGAGTAGAGAACACCGATGTGTTTTGAACAGCTATCATGTTTCTGTGGAGATCCAGAATATAATCTAGCTCTGAGCAGATGTTTTACTTTTCTCGGAATCTCACAGCCCTTAGTCCAAATATTTTTACTTTACTTTAGCGGCGTCCTACCGGTTTCTCGTAATATGATGGACCAGGACTTCCCTCTCCAAATCTCAACAACCCATTTCACATCAAGTCTCTCTTAATCACACCAAGGCACAGCTGGCAGCCATTATACTTAAAGTATGTGGCGTCTACACTCAGGGGCGGATCCAGCCGGCGAAAAGAGTGGGGAGGGGGGGGGGGGGGGGGGCAAATCTTGAAAAAACAATTTAGCGCCGACTAAGCCGGCCGGTGAAAAATGAAAAAAACGGGGGGGGGGGGGGGGGGCTGGGTGTAGAAGCACATTTTTTTTTTTTGGTACAGTTTTAGAGGAAAAATTTAGCGCCGACTCAGCCGGCTGTTAAGAAGCGGCGGGGGGGGGGGGGGGGGGGGTAAGAGCACATATATATATATATATATTTTTTTAATATATCTTTTTGGGGCCCAATTCGTGAGAAAATATTTAGCAGCGATTCATCCAGTCGGTGAATACGCAGGGGGGGGGGGGGGGGTGTAATATTTGTTTTGGTGTGGGTGCAATTTTTTTTTTTTGGGGGGGGGGCGCCGCTTTTGTTTTTGTTTAACTTTTGTTTAAAAAAAGGTTAAATTTACGTTATTATCCTATTTTTTAAACATTTTTTTAGACTAGGGGGTGGGGGGGGGGGGAGCCGGGCCCGAAAAATCGCCACGTGGATCCGCGTCTGTCTACACTGACTTAATGGCACAAACGAACAATTCAAAGACATGAAATTGCAAAAGAATAAATCTCATCCAGTTTGAAGTACATCTCGTACAATACTGATAAAATCGTTTATTAAAGATATAATTCTTCTGTCAATATTGTTAGAAGAAACACATTCTTGGTAATAATATAACGTCGGGTATTTAGGGTAGCTGAACAACAACAAATGTAAAAACACATAGATGTTTATACAGGCAAAAAAAGTACAAATTGCATTCAGAGAAAGGATCCATCATCAAAGAAAAAAACGAATTATAATAGGACCTACAAATGTACTCGTTATTACACATCACATGATTGCAATTAATATAAAGATGTCAATACAAGTTGATACTATGAAAGAGAGAAAAGACTAATGCACATGCCTCTCAAAAAAGACATACAAAAGACATAACCTCGCACTCATCAGAGCGAAACTGGAGAACATAGAGCCAAAATAACTATACTACTTTAACCCTAATAAGGCCGGGCTATTTGAGGTCTTAGTACGGCCGGGGGGGGGGGGCATTATGGCCCCCCCCCCCTTAAGATCTCGGCCGCGAAGCGGCCGATCGCCGCGAAAATTTGCACGCCTGTCAAGTGAAGTATATAGAAATAATATGATAATTTCAATTTTTTTTTTTTAAATTCACTCATTTGCATATTTATGGTAATTTATGCAAATAAAGTCATACAAATCACATTTTTACCCATAAATCATATATTATTCTTATTAAGGCATTCTTTTTCACTGCATATATTCATTAGACCATTCTGAATAATAATACAACAAAAAAATCGGAAGAGCCAGCTTATTCCTTATGTTATCCCTTGTTTTGATAATTTCTTATGTATTTCATTGTTTTTCAACTTATGTCTTTCATTGTTTTTGTTGTTCTATTTCATTTCTTACTACAATTCAACTATTTTGACTCCCAAAACAACCACCTTAACTTTAAACAAGACCCAATAACCCATGTCTGATCTGTTTTTAGGAAAAATGACTTTTCCATATGTTTTGTACACAAATCACGAAAATGAGCGATTTTCGGGCTGACATGCAAAGACAAAAGGTCACGTGACCTTGTAACCGTAGGTCCAATTTTCAAAAAAATTCTTTTAAAAGTTGCGAAAGACTTGAAAGAAAAAAGTCAGCGAGCAGCGGGGCGCCATCCATATGCGTTCACGAGCAATTGGAAAAATCGTGGAGGGGGGGGGGCATAATGCCCCCCCCCCAGCCTTATTAGGGTTAAGATCCTTTCCTATCCAATCCAACAAGTCTGAAAATTTGAGACAAAAGGCATCTTTATGTAATTGCTGAACTAACCCAATAACACTTTCCTCTATCGATTGATTTGCTTGAGAGGAATACCTATAGGGGGGGGGGGGGGGAGGGGTATCTGAAATGATATGTGACATCCCATCAAGGAGTGAAAAGAAAAGTAAAGGAATGCAACATGACCCCTCCCACATATGCTCCAACTTGAGATTCCAGTTATCTGTCTAAACAATTAATTCAATTAATAAGAGCAGCAGCCCCCCCCCCCATGACATCAGTGCCCTCTCAGTAACTCAACCCATGCTAAACTATTAACACTACCGATTAATTATCAAAACCAAGATCATGACAAGATATCAGTTGAAAAGTCTTAAACTGCCTATAACAGGAATATCAATTATTTAAGTTAAACTTACACTGTACATGCACTATGTATTTTCTGAGAAGACTGTAGGTACTTGTTTAACCTTTTCCCTCATAAAAAATAGAGAGATTATATAAAACTTGCACACCAGAGAATTCGAAAATTTACCAGCAATTACCCTTAGCTTAATTACCTAATGTGATGGGTGTATTTTTGCTACCAAAGAATACATGCCAAAATAAAATCAATATGATTTTAAAGAATTATATACATTTGAATGTGGGCAATTCAACTAAAATTGACCATGAGCCGAACTCATGAAAATTGGCAATGACTTCAAAAATTTATATTTCCTATAATGACAAATTTAGTACCAAACACAGGAAAAAGGGTATACAAATAGGAAAAAAATCACCCCGTTCTTTTCTTTGAGTAGAATAATAATATTGAAAATTGTTTACGCATGACTTTTCATTGGGTTAACATCTAGCAAGAACTTTAGTACCCCAAAAATGCTCCAAATAGAAATTGTATAGCAATTGTAAATAGTATAACCTTATATTTAAACAATTATGTTCAGAGTAAAAGCTTTTGTTGATACCTAAATAAGACTTATTACTTATTGAGCTTTAAAACTATACAGTTTTGAATTAAACCGACAATGGGTAATGAAAGAAATGGAATCCCATCGCAAACACAAATAAAAGCAGTCACAAAAAGTCAACACCACCCTCTCAGAAAATACATGCCTATAATTGTGATTTTATAATTCTGTAATAACCGATACATTGGTTAATTGGTGTGAAAAACCTAAATACAAGCTAAACATAATGAATAAAAAGATTGATTAAAGGTAGAGACCAGTAATGGTCATGCGATTGCATTGTGAAAGAAATGTTGTGGAATCGATCAGAAAAGGTTGATCATCCAGCATCTAGCATCTGCAAAGTTCTGGAATCATCAAAATGATAAGAAATTTGGCCCATTCTTCGTAAAGTTACAAGCACTATACACAGAAAGATGTATATGGGACTACCCTATATCTCTCACACGACCACGAGAGAAACAAATTTACCAAATATATGAATTAGTAGGCGGTTTCCCGGCAAATTTTTTATCATCATGTACATGTATTAGTCAAAACATATTCTTTCACATGATTGGTAATGAGAGTTTCCATTTCATTTTTTGAAATTGGGGCGTGTCCAATACTGGTCTTTACCTTTAAAAAGATACTTCATTCTGAGATGACTCTTTTGTAATTAATCAAAATTGTAATAATAATCATAATGCATGTGAGTACTTTAATTCCTGATTTAGAGAGAAGGAGAAAAAGTACATGAGAGGGGAGGATAAAAGAATGAAGAATGGAAAAGAGAAGAATGAAAAACAATAATATGGTAAGCAAAAATAAATAAATACAAACATGACAAAGATAATTAAAATCACAGTTAGTTGTTAAGGAGTCGTACGATAAAGGGAATAATTGAAGTGCGGTGTCTCTCAGTTCTACAATAGGGTATAGTTATGTGTAGAGAGTTTCAGAGTTCATGGCAAGAGGTTTGGCGACGAGTTGGCGGTAGAACATAATTCGATCTCGTGATGACTTAAACAGTTTGAGAGAAAAGGATTCAAGAAGGGCAAGACGGCAAGAAGTTAGACTCTGGAGAGAAACGAGTGGTTTCATACAACTGTTCTTATCCAAGGATAATACAGCAGACACGTTTCTGCACTTTCTTCAGACTGCAAGATAACTGTTCGGGAAATTGATGTGGACCAAACTGGAGAAGCGTATTCTAGCGAAGATCGGATATATGTCGAGAAGATGTCTGCTAGATCTTCACACGATACTCTGAGATGTCGTAAATGTATAGTCGCTTGCCGGCACTTGATATCATATCAAACACTTGGAAATTCCATTGGAGATCTGACTGTAATATAACTCCCAGAATTGTCGGAGTGGTGCAGTTTTGGACGGCCTTGTGGTCTAGGTGCAGCAGTTAAAGGGCTGGTTGGATACACTTGAGGAAAACTTACTTGGATTCGGTTTTGAACTGCTCACATGAGTAAAATTCCTTGTCCATTACTAGCTAGTACTTCTGTACTTGTCATGTCTAGTATAGTTACACAGAGTCCAGTTTCTCTCCAACTATTCAGTTACATACTGTGCAATGCAGTGAATGCTCCTGATGGTAAAATGTATCTAAATCACTGAATGTTCTTGCCCCTTTTAATTCTCCCGCAAGATGTCTGAAATGACCATGGTTATTTCAGAATCGCATGTCTTTTCAACTGGAGTTCACCATTCTTTGGGATGTGCTGTTTTGTTTTGGGGAAACCAGGTGAATATTGCTCCACTGATAACTTTGGTCGAGCCATTTGATGCAGTGTTGAAGTTGTTCCTTTGCTAGTAGCTCTATCAAATAAAAGAAAAAAAGAGAAAAGAAAAAATTCATTAAATTTTGATAAAAAGTGAAGGAATAATGTAATAATGGATGCTGAGCTTGAGCAAAGCTGCAAAGGAGATAAAAAAAGGGACACCAATCAGACTACTGTAAGATAATTTTTCATTTCAACACTTCGACACACATTTCCTAACGTGCTTGAGGCTCTATTTTGTTTCCTTTGCAGGACTTTATCTGTTTCAAAGTATTGCAGACTACTAGCCTTAACTTATCTTCACATTACTGATTTTTTTTAAAATAAATAGTGTATAATTAATATAGGCTTAAACACTATCATTTTAATCTTGAATAAATACCCTTTTTACTTTGTACAGATTAATGTGGCACATTTAAACATTAATATGAATATCATAAGTAGGTGTTTCTTCTAAATGATCCAACAGATGCAATACTAATTGGTAAAGATCGAAAATTACATATCTTGAAAACAGTCCAACATGAAGAAAACTGCACGTTCTCGCAAAACAGTTTATGTTATGCCTCAACAATAACGTTTGCTGTAAAAAGTGTGTGACTCTTTCAACACTCTATGCTAGTGGGAGGTGGGTCCGCCAAAACATATATCTTGAGATCAAAGTATCATTAGATTAAATTTTCATTCCTGGATTTTGTACAGTTTTGGGTTTCAGAGATTAAAAAATAAAAAATAAAATCCCTCCATTGTGTAAATTCTATAACGTTATTTGTATTAAACAATGTGAGAGTTTTTTCTATTGGCATAAAGAGAAATCCTTATGTGACCTTTGACCTACTTACCCCAAAATATAATCAGATTGTCTTCCTAAAGTGATACATACTATTAGCAGGTTTGAAGTTCATACCTCAAATGATTACTAAGATATCGCAATTACAAGGCTTAAAACCAGAGCTGCCAACCTCCAGAACAGAAATCAGTAATCACAAGGCTCAAAATCAGTAATTTGGGGTATAAATCAGTAATTTCTTATGCGGCGCTATGAATCTAAAAAAACGACACGCCAACACTGCGCGGACGCATGATTATCTGAAATTTTTGGTGATTTTACTCACACAAAGATGTTAAGTATTGAATTTCAGGTCATCACAACACAGTTTATCATGAAAAATGGCTCCTATTCACAGCACTCGCTACGATAAATCATATTTAATTCATTAAAAAAAAAAAAAAAAAAAATCTTTTTTTTTTTTTTTTTTTTTAAATCCGTAATTTGAGACAACATTCCGTAATGGTCGTTAATTTCCGTACCAATTACGGAAAATCCGTACTAGTTGGCAGCTCTGTAAAACGCATTCATTAAAAAAAAAGTGGCAACAACCAAAGGAAATTGGAAATGCCCTTAAGGCTCCCTGCACCAAAAGCAGGCATGGTGTTACTTGTATGTGACAGAAGTAATTGTGAGGCAAAAGAAGCTGTGAAGATGGAAGGATAGCGAGGATATCGTACATGTTCAAGAATGTCAAATGCAATCAAATCTATAAATGAAACTTAAAACAGAATTGGGTGTACAGAATCATGCTACTTGTATGACATCAAAGTATGACCCCCCCCCCCCCCCCATGCCCCATGCCCCATGCTAAAACAAAATTCACTCAAATGTGAAGATGCAAGGAAATTTATAAAATTGACTTAATCTCTGGGAAAATCACAAATGATTGGAACACTGGATGTAGAATTAGGTGTATAGGATCATGCTACTTGTATAGCGTCAACGTATGACCCCCGCCCATGATGATTATACGACTGAGAGTACGTCAACCATGATCACTGCTGTCAGTGAGACAGCCCCACATTCCCATTGCTGCTTTAATGTACTTACCACAATATGTAATTTCTTTCATAGCAGGTAATTAGCAGGCAAGTGGTTGTGTCTAAGGGTTGTATAACAGCTTCAATTGAGGCGAAGTGTCCCCAGTGCTGTCATCTGCACCAGAATCGGGCACGGTGTTTGATAGGACTTGTGACAGAGGTAATTGTGAGGCAAAAGAAGCTGCGAAGGTGGATGGATAGCGAGGATCTCCTACATCTTCAAGCATGTTTGGTTTCTGTTCATAATAGATGCAATATTAACATGAAATAACACTAATTTTATGACAGCTAGCATTCAAATCAATGTGAAGATGCAATCAAATTCATAAAATTGACTTAAATAATGTTTGGAAAAATCACAAATGATAGGAACCACTGGATGCAAAATTGGGTGTATAGGATCACCCTACTTGTATGGTGCAAAGTATAACCCCCCCCTCCCCCTTATGGCTTATATTCATGACTGAGAGGTCAACCTTGATCACTGCTGTCAGTGTAAGGGTTGAATAACAGCTTCAATTGAGGGTTGGGGGGGGGGGGGCTAAGTTTTCAGAGGGGGGGGGGGGGTAATAGTCTATAGAACCCTATAACAACATTCACTCCAATGTGAAGATGCAAGCAAATTTATAACACCACTGGGGAAATCGCAAATGATGGGAACTACGTATTACACCAATGCAGAATTAGGTGCATAGGATCATTACCCCCCCCCCCCCCCCCCTCCTCACTATAAATAGCTTTCCCTGAATTGTTCAAGTCAGTGCTTATTGTGTACTACTGTATACGCCCTTTGCTTGTTCGTATTGTTAGATTACAACAGTAATTACCAAAACAATAACATTTTTTTCTTCAAAAATAAAGTTGGGCCAGTGTATGATCCTAAGAAACAATTTTACCAAAAAAAAATTACATTGATAACTCATTTCAATGAAAACATATAAAATCTGGTTGATTAAAATATAATGAAATTATAACATAAAGAACAATTAATATATTCCATCTAAAAAATATTCAGTGAAAAATCCTGGTAATTAGGTGTTGATGGCCAAGAACATGCTGCCTGCTCCAAAATGCATCATCATTCCATTTTGCCATTTAATAGTCCCAAATAGAAAAATAGATAATGTTTGCATGGTATTTTTGTTCAAATCATATGTGATGTGTATTTTTAACAATGAGTTATTCCTATTATTCTCTATTTTATGAAAAAGAAAAAAAAATTATAATTGCAAATTACAATGGATTGGATGTGGCCCTTTTACTTGTCCTTGCATGGCCCTAGCTTGACTTCCTGCAGGGTACTTTGTGCCAAGTTATTTCTCTAAGAGTGGAATTGATGTGAGGAATATTGCCATTTTCAGTAGGGGCACTGGTCTGAGAATGAAGATTGTCCGCATAAACGAAAATATCCTGGTAAACGCGGACAAGTCTCGACCTAAAAAAATAAGGATTGTCTGCAATTTTCACGGACGTTTTTTCTTCTTCGGTGTTCTGCAGGTACAGGGTTCCTGATCCGCATGCTGGCAATTAATGCGAAAAACGGATTCCGCGTAATAAAATACCTCCAGTTCACCGTCTATACTTTCTATGGGTTGTCTGTCTTCCCTAGGATTTATTGTTCATGACGTGAAAGTCTCTGCGTAAGTGTAAAATGCATTATGGAGCATAAAAAATGCGGATGATCCTTATTTTTCTGGATGCGAATGGTCTGCATTTACGAGGGTATTGTCGTTTATGCGGACGATGCTTATTCTCGTACTAGCACCCTACTGATTTTGTGAATAAACCATTTTTTTTTCTTCGTGTAGGCCTATATAATCTACAGACATAACATGTGCAAGCATTGCGCACAATGAACCGTTAGGCTTTACTGTGCAGAGTCCTTGAATGAGTGGTGGAATATTTCACAAGCATGCCAAGAATGTGTAGACAATATACTAGTCATTTTGACTTTATAATAATTATTTTAAATGAAATACCTACATAGTACATTGGCTATAGCGCCAAACATGCCAAATGAGGAGAGTGAACAGCACAAATAGCCGCAGTTTCATCAAGGTTTGCCCAAAATTTCTTTGAATTTTCTGTTGATCTAGATAGAGTCTATCATAAAGTCTATCGATGCGCAAACCCTAGTGAAACAAAGTGCAATGGAATAAAATCAAGGGGCAGTTTCTTCAGTTTTTCAACGCGATTTTGAGCTGTAAGTGTGAATCATGAAATTAAGAGAACTGATTTGTTTAGGTTATTTAAACTGCAGTATGATTTTGAAGCATCATAATGATTCATATTCAATATTCAATTGAACAATAATTTACATGTTCTCCTAGATCTATTTATAATTTAGTGGGCCTAGATCTAGATCTAGATCTAGGCTACCGGTATTCGTTTTGTAGACCTAACTGTTACTAGTTAGATCTACATGCATGCCAGTGTGTGGAAAAGTAATTTGTTAGTTTAACTTAGACCCTAGTAAAATCCAATGAGTTTCATGAGGTTGATACCGGTTAATTAATGGCTAGACCTTATGCATTGAAATTATAGGAGTGTGAAGTGGAATTTGGTATGCTCAAGTTGGATGAATTTTGATTGTACAACACTTTTTCGTAGAAAAATTGCCAACACACACACACAATTAACGATGGAATCACACACAGAAAAGTTTATATTTGGGACTATTCATAGGGAGGCCAATGCCCAAATCTAACTTTTTAATTACTAATTTGTTTATACTAAAACTAAGATTAAAAGAAAGCATTTACTTTCACTAAGAAAATCCACCCATCTGCCGACTCCATAGGTTCCATCAAATAGGAGATATCCAGCTGGTTTGTAGCCATTTCCTTCTACGCCTTTCCGTACGTAAGAGCCTTGAAACAATTATATTTCATGTCGCAAAGTTACGTTCATAATTAGACAGGCCCGAGGGACAAAGTTCATGATGAAGTTTAAAACTTCGCGCGAAAGTGCAATCACTCAACAGCGGCTAGCCTTGAATCGGTCGCACACGTACACACCTTCTTCTTCTTAGTTGATCCCTCCACCGACACAGGCAAGCCCCGATGCAGGCTGAAGTCCAGCCATCAATGTGCGAACGATTACATCTTCTACTACTACGAGCCGAAGACGATGGTTCAAAAAAGGAAAGAAATATATATAATTCATTGATATTTACCTTAGATGTGTATTCCAATAATTTGATTTCCTCATGAGTATTCCTTATTATCAACGATCGAGAAGTTACGAGGTCCAATTAAAATCCATCTTGCAGCGAACACAATCATAGCGCACATCCATGCATGCAACGTACGTGTACTAATATTTCTCTCACTCTCTCTCTCTCTCTCTCTCCCTTTCGCTATACGTAACATACACACTCACTAACCATGTATCATATACAACACACACCTTCAAATCATGGCTTTCATTTCAATTCTCAATTGGAGTATAGACTGCTCACGTAGACTTTTTTTTTACTGAAATATCTTTTTTAACACTTCTCATACATTACTGCACGACACTCGTATCTAGTGCTGTGAGAATAAGGTACTAGGGTCTATAAATAAGACTACGCTTTGGGCACGCTCTGACCGGAGCTCAGATTATGTCGCAATACCCTTTATTTTTGGCGCGAACAATGACGTCACTGTTCACTGTTTTCCTTCTCATTTTGAGATGGATGTAGCTATAGGGCTCAAACCAACGCAAGATTGACAGAAACATCGTACTCTATCTACTTTCGAATGTTCAGTTTGTGAAAATCTGTATTTAAAAAGATATAATCTTTTTTCTTTATATTTTCTAGTTGTTAGAAGTGGCAATTGTGAACATCTGAAATGTTGATCTCTATCAAAAGTTCTTTACTCAAAACGGATCCCATATTTTTAGGGTCTACCTTCTGCCAATGAGAAGGTTTTTAGTGAGCAAACCTCTACGCCCTCTAGGATTTTCTTAGTCGGTGGTGCGAGTGCGTCAAGGTCGTCTGCAACCACAATTATTGGATTAAAAAACGTCAAAATCTGCAAGATTGTCAACAAATGGTGAAAGACTGTTACAGATCCGTGATTATAGGTATGTTGTGAAATGTATAATTGTATTTTCTTTTCATATTTTCTTCAATTTTTATTTTTACATCATTTTTTTCCCTTTGCTAATTTTTTGAAGTGGGCGACGAGCGCACAAATCGTAGGTGTAGAAGCCTTACGCCCGGGCATTGGCCTCCCTACTATTCATGAAATACAAAGGCAAATGTTTTTCAAACAATATCAGAGTAGGCCTAACGTTAGTCCTTATCGATTATTCCTCTAAGATGAATATCTATAGACATATTTAAAACTTACGGTATACATTGTAGATATTTTTGGAGTGAAGACAAGGAACCACCAGCAGCATAGGCAAGGCTAAAAAGCTGCGCCGACCAGCTGAAACTGTAGCTGATGCTAGCTGCAGGTACGGTATCTAGCTAGGCGCTCTGGCGGGTCTAGCGGCGGCGCCGGCGGTCGACGCCAGTCCTGGGCGTACTGCAGAGAGCTAGCCCTGCATGGCGGATCGCGTCGAGCTAGCTAGCCTTGCCAGGGCCGGACCCATGGGGAGCGTTGGGGTGCATGCCCCCTTTTCCTTCCGAAAAAACAGGGAAAAGCCCAGAATTTTCAAATAAATGTTCAGTTTACGCATTCAGAAATGCCTCAGAATGTACCATAAAGCATCTTATATTTCATTTTTTTTCCGGGGCCCTTTGGCCCCGTGTCCCATGCCGATATAACACTTCATGCCCCTCCTTTAAAAAAAAACTCTTGGATCCGCCGCTACAGCCGGTCGAGCATGCAGGATGTATATGGCATAGGCTGCCTAATGGTACGCACGCGTATTCCGCACAAGCCTTCCACAGTAAGTTACTGTAACAGAATATAATCCAGAGGCGGTGATCTACAGTAGCTGAGTAGCGCGCGCGCGCTGGACGACTAGTTTTACAGTATCTTACTACGTCATCAGTATAATCCAGGAGACAATATAGTTCCAGTACATAACTATTGCAACTATGTCACCTGGGTTACAGAATATATATTCTGCTCTGATATATACTGAGCGACTTTGGGTCACCTGCTTCGATACCTTACTGGCTCGATTATTGGTATCAGGTGCTTGAAACAAGAACCTAACCCTTATTTTCTTTTCAGCTTCACCTACCTTCTCAGTTGTCTCCAGACCTGTCGCTCAAGTAATGGGCTACAACATTTTTAACGGCAAGATCATGATTGGGGGAATCGGAGTGGATAACTACGTACACAGGTGAGCCTTTCTGCTAGCATTGTCCTCTTACATCTTACTACCTTTTCTCTCTATTTTGGTAAGATTGCTCAGTGAGGCGCTTGTAGATTGTTCCTCTGTGGCAAAACTATTATTGTAAATGATCAAATTCAGGACTATATTATTAAAGATGGATGCAAATGTTCAAATTCATCTCGTTCCAATCTTCACTGTTACAAGGACCTTTTCTGCTTCCTTGTATCAATCAATGAAAACTTTTTGCAAAGCTGGGTATCGCATATTTACTGGAACTGCATCTAAAGAATGAAACAATATCCCATCTTTCATCAAATCAGCTAATTCCACAAAAAAAATTAAATTTCTTGAAAACAAGGAGATGTGGGTTGATCTACCGCCACGTTCACTTGGTCAGCTCTCTGTCTTCGCCTGGCTCAGGCGACCCCGGTTCGAAACTGAGTCGCGTCTTTTGGATGGTGACGCGAAATGTCGGTCCCAGACGTTAATAATCATATCTGATTGATACACGACTGGAAAAACCAAATTACGTCCAAGAAGACTTAAACCTCCTTTCATTTCATTTCTTTTATTTGTACTTTTTTAAAGTTTGAGTTCCATATCATACATTATATATTTTGTAATTACACGCTGTGATGTGGTTGTTCCAGGTGCGCCCAGGCTACCTGTGACATAGTGGACAATCCTTGGAGTTACTGCACGTGGGGAAACTGGCATCAGACTGGTGGGAAGATTCCATTTGACAATGGAGGGATGCAAAACAACTTGGTCATGAGCAGGAATGTACACTTTGGGGTTGAGATCTTTGCAGTCCAAGAAACGAGTGGGCAGTGAGTATATCCAGAGACCTGTGATTTTCTGATTATTTGTATAATAGAAAACAATATGTGGTGGTCGATGGTGTCGAATCTGATTATATGGATGTAAATACCGGAGTTCCACAAGGATCGGTTCTCGGACCACTTTTATTTATCATATATATTAATGATATAATCAGTTCATCCAAATTACTTATGTTTTCATTATTTGCTGATGATACGGTTGTATATTATTCTCATTCTAATGTAGCACGCTTAGTTTCTATTTAAAATGAAGAGTTAATAAAATTGAATGATTGGTTTAAATGTAATAAATTATTTTTGAATTATGAAAAAACAAAATATGTAATTTTTCACACAAAGAAAAAAATGTTCCAAATGTCACCAATCCTGTTAAAATAGCGAATGTAACTATTGAACGAGAACTAAGTGTTATTTTTTTAGGTACTAATATTGAAGAAACTCTAGATTGGAAATGTCATATTGATTATGTTTGTTCTAAAATTTCTAGAAGTATTGGTGTCTTATCTAGACTTAAGAATTTTCTCCCAAGGAACATATTAATGAATATTTACAATGCAACACTTCTTCCCCACTTAAATTATTGCAATATCATTTGGGGTAATACTTACAAAACAAAACTGTTCAAGATTTATATGTTACAGAAACGTGCATTTCGGTTAATAACAAATAGTCATTATATATCTCCAAGTTTACCATTATTTATTAAACTGAAAATTATTCCTGTATATGATTTGATCAAACTTAATACATGTATATTTATGTTTAAATTTCATAAAAAACTGTTTAATACCATCTGTTTTTAATAATATGTTCCACACAAATTCTTCTATTCACAATTACCCCACTCGTCAACGTCTAAATTTACATCACCCACTCTGTCGTTCAACTTCACTGTATAATTCTATATCATTTGTTGGGGTACGGGAGTGGAATTCCTTGAATTATGACCTAAGATCAAGTTCTACAATTACCAGATTTAAATCAAAGTATAAAAAAAGTATTTTTCAATCCATGGTTGAGTAAGTACTTCTCTTTCCCATCTTTTTTCTACTTTTATCTCTTTCTGCCCAATTTTCGCTTCCTTCTATTCTTTCTCTGTAACCTTCTTTATGAACGTGCGTGTGTGTTGATGTACGGGTGCGTACTTGTATTATTTAAGTCCTTTACTTTTTATTGTTAATTTATGTGCATTATCTTCTTATTGTTTGTTTGCAGGGCCCCGATTACAAGCAGATTTCTGCTTCTTAGGGGTCCTTACCATTATATTGTATATTGTATATTGTATTTTCATTGTAAATTGTTTTTATACTGGTTAAATAAATGAAATGAAATGAAATGAACCACGCGATGAAATATGTAATGACTATGATATTTGTCTTGAAAAAATAAAATGTTTAACTTTTATTTATTCATTTGTAGGCCGGAAAACGGCACATGAGACCAATTTATTTAGTCAAATGTAATTAGCCCTCAAGACATGGATAGATTAGACTATTATCAGGCCACAATACCGACAGCACCTAAGAGACTAACATTTGTTTGGTCGAATGTACTCGACATTTTAACAACTTTAAGGCAAATGTACGCAAGGTCTCTTCCTTAACGTGCATCTTCATATAATCATCCGTTTTCGTTTCACGAAAGGTCGTGTAACGCGACCAACCGACTAGACGCGATGACCAGACGATTTGAAGGTAGCCCAATACACATCTGCTATAATGTGAAGTTCCCCACGAGAAACCATGATTGTTTGTCTTCATTTTGTAGATTATGGCAAACTTGGCAGCCCGCGAGAGATACATCTTGGAATGTCTGGAGAAAGATTCCCCAAAACCTGACTGGGGCAGCGTTCATCAATAACCCTTTCCTCCGTCTCAACGAAGCTGGCTGGTGGATAGCATATGGTCTCAATTACAAACATCAGGTGATTATTTTATCATGCAAGATTGTATAGTGATCATTGGACATTGACTAACATTGGTTACATTTCATTAGAGACTGTTCTTGATACGAGATATAACTTGATCATGTGAGAGATGGGACCAGTTGTATGATACTTGCTCTTGTTGCTCCGCGTCAATTTGTTATGTTAACCAACTTCCTAATTTCAACCCTGGACCCAACACTTAACCCTAACTAGAACCCTAAAGTCCTTTTGCAACCTAAGCTTGGAGGGATTCTTGCGTGCTTTATGTAAGGTGAGAGCTGTTTGACATAGCTGTTGGTCTACCAAACAGAGGGCCATATATTGCAATCGCAATCAACAGTGTGTCTCTGAGGCCCATCTTCTCTCCTGATATGACAAACTCCATAAACAAATCTAAGAGTGAATGAAAAATACAATACGAATCGGTATCCATCTGAGGAGATAAATTAAGCCAATAAATTCGAACCTTTGGAGTGTTTCTCTCCTCTTTTAACTCATTCTGACCATTCCTTACAGGTTGTTCCGGTTGAGGCGTCACATTCCATGGACATCAGTCCAAAGAAGGTAGCCTGGTCCAAGAACATGGTCGTGTCCTGGTCCATCTCTAGTAACCAGGCTTCAAAAATGGACTGGATTGGTGTCTACCCCAAGGGATTAAACAACGATCAGTACCTAGACTACAGGTAGGCCTGAAAGCTCTAACTAGACGATTAGTTTGCTGGTATACATCAATCTTGTTCGTCGCTGTGTATAACAATGTCTTATGGATATTTATGTGGTGGTTTAATATTCTTTATCCGACTGCTAAGAAAGCATAAATGCTTGTTAGTAAGCAACCAGAGGACCGACGGCTTCATGTCATCTCCGAAGGACCTGGTAATGAGGATTGATGCTTTACCAAAGGGCACTAGCGCATCGACTGGGTTTCGAACCCGGGTCGCCGGATTGCAATACCACTGCTCTACGAACTGAGCTATGACGCCTCCAAGACTGTGAGAGACTAGGTTGACAGAAGAAACTGACAGAGTTAAGCTCTGCTCAAGCCCAATTTTGTGTGTTATGTCCCTTAATATAAAAGGTAACTTTAAAAATCGTCCATCTTGGGATAAAATTGCAAATTTCTGGAGTTTTTCACTTTTCTTGATGAGTGGTCTATAAAGGTTTCACCGTTCTTGAGTTTTCCATCTCTCTTGAGTGGTCTTTACAAAACAGGTTTCTTTTTCATTATTCTCCAGGTATGTCCAGGGTGGCCTGAATCCTGGAAAGAACCCAGTCAACATAGGGAAGGTGTCCATGGCCTCCTTCCTTCCGAACGGGGCTTATCAGGTTCGCTACCTGGTTAACAGTCAATTCATCAGCATTATGGAAATGGGTACGTTAAAGGCTCGTTTGTAATGCTATTCCCCATATTTTGTATTAATGACATTGGAAGTTTTTTTCTTTTTCTTGGACACACCTGTTAAAAAGAAGTTCCTTATATTAACATAATGTAATTTCAATAAATGACGATTATACATATATTACATGAGGATTTCTAGCAATGTTTTACATACCTAAAGAAGAAAAGTGAAATTTTTGTAAAATATAATATGTTCAAAACAGATAGAGAAAATTGAGGCGATGACATCATCAACTCGCTAATTTTGATACAGCCTATGTGGTACAGCAGGGACCCGTTTCACAAAGCCTTTTTTCAATGACAAATGACCTAAATCTGTGACAAATCTGCTGATAACCAATCAGAAGCAAGGATTTCAGTAGCTTATAACAAAGACTGTCACTTGTCACTTATGACAAGTTCTGGGAAATGCCCACCTGGTCTCAGCTGATCGGGCGCTTGACACGGGAATAGTCCCAGGCAGTAGACTAAAATTAAAGGGTTATGTGTATTCTTGATCTAGCATTTGCCCCTTACATAGTTGTTTACACTGAAATTCACCGTAAATCATTGAAGGAATGCCAAATGATCTTGCATTATGTACTTTTATCTTTTTCTACAAGCTAGAAGGACATATTAACCCGTTGACTACTGAATTTTCTTTTTCCCATTGAGTTAACACAGGGACTACCCCGTTCATTTCGCTAATAACTTAATAACATATTTCATGCCAATTTCCACATTGCTACCCAAACTATACTTGTCTGGATCAGATGTAACCTTCTACAACGAATCCCAAGAGTCGAAAAAGATGCAACTTTACCGAGGTATATACACCGGTCTGGATGTTCCTACGGATAACATTGATGCATGTATAAATGAGACTCTAGAGACTGTCCAGACGTTTGAAGAGTGCTTCCATGCGTTCAAGATGGGAAAGGTAATTACTAACGACTGTTCCCTCGGTGTTTGGAACGTCACCTTCATTAGAATTACAGATAATTATCGTACATGGTACGTGCACTAGAAAAGATCGGGCCCAACACATGAAATCTGCAATTGCAATAAAATGATTGACACAATGTCATTGAATTTTAATTTATTGAGTGAACAATGTATTCCTAAATGACATGACACCGAGATCATACGTTTTGGGTAAGGCGTTTTGATTCTACGGTTATTTCTGTAAGGCAATGTTGTTATCAAGATTTGCAACATTGCTTGAAGTAGCAAGAAATGTTTGAATGACGGCTGAATTCCCATACACCCAGCTGTGTGGTTGACGAGAGAATTCATTCACTTTATTGTTGTTGTTGTTATTATCATTATTATTGTTGTTGTTGTTGCTAGTGTGTTTACATTTTTATGCCTTTGTTTATGTTTATGTCTTTTTTCCCCTAGGTGTTCCAAGGTCTACAACTCCTCGGCATAGCCCTTGAAGATGTTGCCAAGACTCTGACAAAATGTCATCTATTTTCGATCACTCAGAAACTCCTGGGCTATATCACTGATCTCCTTAAGTGCATTCGGGGTAATTGTCTTAGTTTTGTCTTCGACTTTATTAAGGAGCTCCGGATTCTGTTTTTGAATAGGTATGAGATCTACGGGGATATCAGGGGTGCCGAGAATAGCTTTCAGCAAAAAGCTTATCAGCAAGGAGGGCTTTGTATCGGTAGATTTGTCAAGGCTTGTCTTCTGGTACAGGACTCCATGATGGTTAATGGTAGCTGGGACTCCATGAAGGATGTTAAACTGAATGGCACCATTAGTGGAGAAGGGGTGAAGGTGATTGGAACCGGTAGAATGAATTGGGTGACTGGCACTCAGGCTGGCAGCAACGAGGTTGTGAAGATGATTGGGAACAACAGTAGGGATGCCATCGTTAGTAGTGAGAATATGAAGCCGATCGGATCTGGTAGTAAGATGGGGGTGAAGCTGATTGAAAGTGGTAGAAAGGCAGGGGCGAATGTGATTGAAACTGGTAGAAAAGAGGGGGTAAATTAATTTAAAACTGGCGGAAAGGAGGAGTGGAACCTGATCCGTAGTATCCGTAATGTTGTGTTTTATGGAAATATTCATAGAAATAAATTTTTTGTCATTAGTCTTGCCAATTTAGCTGAAATAATAGTATCATAGAAGAGAAGACACATGGGGCAATATCTCTGTATAGGCATTTTCTTGTATGTACATTTAGATGGACATGATTATCATGAATGTAGATGTATTAATGCTGGTTCAGATTTGACGTTGCAAAACCACAGTAGGTTTTTTTTTTTATGATGACGTAAAGTGCAACACACTTTACGTTACTCTATCTTATGACATTAAAAAATCCTCTGTGTGCTCATGCCATTATAATGCATGGCCGTCTAGAGGATTTTTTTATGTTGGGGACCGGGTTAAAATGCAATAAATTATTGAAAATTTATTGCATTTTCTGTTTTTTAATTTATTTATGGAAACTGTCCCCTACCCTAGCCCCCGCTGCGTACAATCTTGGTTCAGTGACAAATCAATAGCCTCGTAACTGTGAGGCCCCATGATCAAAACCGTGTCGATGTGCTATATTAGTGCTCTTTTGTGGGGCATTAATCCTCATTACTGTCATTTATGACTTAAGGGTGTAGGTCCCCTATTTGATAAGCATAGTAGCATACACATGCTTTAGCAGTCACGCAAAAACGCACATTGGCAAACTTTTATAAAATACTTGACAGAATGATATTATCATAATCTAATTCCTCATATCCAAACTTAAGACAACTTTAAGAACAATCTTTTCAAACGCAGTGTAAAATTTGCAGAAATTTATATTTTTTTCTTCTTTCTTTTAATTTGCGGATCCAGAAGATCTTGTGAATCACAATGTCTACTCTCACATTTGAGATGAAATAAAATATTTATGAACGAAATCATTTCTCACGGTAAAAGAGGTTTAAAAGAATCACCCTTTCAATATACAGTCCGTCCCAGATAAAACGAAACCGAAAATTATCGATGTTTTATCATAACTTAATCACAATTATAATTGATAAAATGACACATGTTTGGAAAGCTTAGATCCTCTTCTTTCATTTGATGCAACTCATAATAATGCATATTTCACGCGAGAGTGAATAAAATCATTTTGAAGAGAGGGAAAAAAAACTCATTTGGCGGAGGATATCTGAAGTTCTAACAGAAAGTCAAATTTCTAAAAAAATGAGTCTCTGCCCTTTCATATGACACCTCAGGAAAAAAGGAAAAATGAGCTGCCTGCAATAACAACAAACGAAATTAACAAAAGACTTAACTCCGTTTCGTTGACAATCAGCCGTAGACGAAAGTCTTCATGCATGGCTGATTGTCAAGGAAACGGAGTTAAGTCTTTTGTCAATTCTGCTTTTTGCTACGGCAGGCAGCAAGTGAAAACGAATTCGTTTAATCAAATTATGGAAATGCAAGCACTACTTTAAACAAACAGAACTTTGTCATTCCTTGCTCATTTTCCCTGATTGAGGTGTCATATGAAAGGGCATAAACCCAACTTTCTAGAAATGTGATTTTCTCTTTGAAATTAAGATACCGCCCGCCAAACGATTTTTCGGTTTCCTCTCTTCAAATTGATTTTCACTGATGCGTGAAATATGCATCATAATGAGTTGCATCAAATGAAAGAGGGGGATCTAAGCTTTCCAAATATGTGTCATTTATTAATTATAAATGTGATTAAGTTATGATAAAACATCGGTAATTCTCGGTTTCGTTTTTTCTGGGACGCACTGTATAGCCTGAAAAAGTAGGCTGGATTTCCCAAAAAAGAAAGTTTTCCCCTCCTAATAACTATTCAATTAAATCATATTTTTATTCATCATGATAACGAATATAAAAAAACAGAGTTCATGGAAATTTTTACAAAGGCAGGACAATTTAGTAAACCTGTATGTTTAAAACCTACATGCTTCTAAAAATATCAAATTTCTGTTGACCATATGGCATCCAAATTTTGTATTCCCCCCGTCACCACATGAAAGAAAATGACAAAATCTTGTACCAAAATGCTATTTACATTCAAACATAATTATATTATTATTTAAATTATAATAATCATAGTGAAGCAACCGCGCCTATGTCTGACAAAACACTTTATTTGTGTTTGTATTTATTAACATCTATTTCCTTCTCAACAGTACAATATGAAACACAATGTATATATATACATGATATATGTAACAATTATTTCAACATAGAGTATACAGTAAATAATTCAGATACGGAAGGAGGCGAAAACCCGGAAAGCATAGCTTGAGTTGGGAACGCCCATAATAAATTAACACAGTTACCGAAAGAACTTTATAGACATTATTATGAAAATTACATTTTATATAACAGAAAGTTGATAGGAAAGAACAAAAATAGTAAATGGAACAGAGAGAAGGAAAAAAATGAGGAGAGAATTAAGTATAGGAAGGCATGTTCACTTATAAAGAGAATGTTACCTCAATTGGGCTGTGCATGTGTCTGTGATTACATAATAAAAAATAACGAAGTACTACAATTTTAAAATAGACAGCGGGTACATATCATTACAAACAAGCAAAATCATCAAACAAACAACAGCTTTATCCGACAGCATTGTCCTGGGAATATACATATATGGTACTAGCAACAGCTGAGGCATGTACGTAAGTGATCAAAATACAAACATGTCATTGAATTGAATTCCACAAGAGGTCATTTCACACATAAATACAAGAGAGGGTATCAATATCGAGCAATTAAATACATTTTTGCCTAACGGGAAAAAGTCTGCAAGGAGAGCGATTTTTGTAGAATAGATGGTAAGGTGTTCCAACATTTTTTGGCCCAGAATGTCAAATTGAAATCTTCGGGTTCTATGTTTAGGGAGATGAATGTTGGCAGCGCTTCTCGTATTATACGTATGGGTTTCCGAGTTGCATTGAAAATTGATAAAATCACTAAATTGTGATGGGAAGATGTTATTCATGCTTTTATTCATGCTTTTATACATGAAAATACCCTGTTGGTGCAAGTTGATATCACTGAATCTCAAGAAAATAATTTGTTTAAAGATGGGACCAGTATGGGAACGATAGTGCATTCCGGATATTATACGAATAATCTTCTTCTGCAATAGTGTAAGCTTTTGTATTATTCAATAAAATCTGATAATGTATACTTTTATCCAGATCTATTATCTTTAAATTATTTTAAAAATAATTCCATAAATTGGGGTAAAACAAAAATATTCCCCCTATATGAGCGACAGTGTATTCGTGTATTGTGCCAGTGTGCTCTGCTGTGCCAAAGGGATGGAAAAAACTATTCCAATGGATGAGCATGTTGTATGGGCAACCAGAACTTGTCTAACTTTGTCTTTATCTTTTTCTTATCCTTAATATCATCCTCATACTCGCGTTTTGTTGTGACATCGTTACATTATTTACGTTGTGGTATACCGAAGCGCACTCAACGATGATTGAGGAAACTAATAACAAAACTTAAAGGAGCTACACAAAGAAAATTCACTAACAACTCATAATTATAAAAAATTACATATGGATGGAAAGATTTTCTCTTGAAAAACACGAACAATTTGCTGAGAAATCATATAGATATCATGGAAAGGCGTAAAATGCAATTTCCCAAGACCCTCCTTAGACCCCCGAACGCCCCTGAACGTAAGTCAAACACACAAGCGTAGCGAGCTCTGAATTGTGACGTCACACACTGGACGAACAGCTCAGTGCCGTGTAGCAGTATGCAGCTAGCCAGCCGTGTCCCGTATGTGACGTCACAAATATTGACGCTCTACAAAGCACCGCTGAAGGCAGAAAATCTGGATCTCAAAACTAACATTTTTGAGAGCTGATTACTGCGGGCCCCAAACATATTTTGAAGAGGGAAGTTGTTGTATTTGATCAGTAAGGCTTTCCTTCGCAATGATATGAATTTTGCATCAATTCAAAACACTTTTGTTTCTTGGGGTGACTCCTTTAAAGGATTAGTCCACTAAAAAAAAAAGTGCTTTTAATAGATGCAGAAAAACAGGTGAAACAGAGCAATGGGCAGCTGGAGTTTCTGATAATGTGTAATACACACACATCCTTTGTAATTATCATCCCCATGATATTTTCTCCAAGTAATTGTAACTATACATGCAGGTAGTCAACCAATCATGCGGATGCAGGTACATGCTGATTATGTATCATATTGCGTGCATGACATTTCACAAAATCTTTTATGAACTTGAAGAATTGATACTATTTTCTGAATATTATATAATCATAATTATTGATTTTTATATAAATACTTTATCAAAATCCGAATTTTTCATGATTTAACTGAAAAAAACCCTCTATATTAGTGCATCTACACAAAAACATATTACTATCAATATAACTTGAATGCTGGTGTGAGGAAATAAGATTCTTGGGGGGGGGGATGTGAAATTTATGTTATCAATATAACGATAACAATTAGTGGATAGTGAGGCAATGACGTCACAGAATCATTAATGAGTTGCCCCTTTGTCTTGTGATTTTCAAAGTTTTTCATGTCATTAGAAATTCATAACTTTCTTATCAATTTTCCGATTTTGCTCAAACTTTTTTTGACTGGTTAGTCTAATTTTTCTGCTTCTATATTGAAAGTAAGTTATTTTTAGAGTGGACTTGCCCTTTAACCTTTTTAAAAACTACCATTTCCTCAACCTCAGAACATGTACTTGAAGGAATAGTTATTAGAATGTATTTTGAAAACAAAAATCGACTGAAGGTTCTAAATAATAGAAAGTCTCATTTTGTACAAAACTGCATTTATCGAAGTGCTAGACCACGTTCTTTATAAAATCCATGCCCTTTCATCTCTATTAGCTTCATGAGTCGTTCTTTGAGATGCTCTCTTTTGCTGTACATCGGGAGATGAAGCACGACGTAATCGTGACAAGTATTCACTTCAGGGCACATATCCTTCGGGGGGTTCCCCCTACAATCTCCGTCTCCTCCCATAGGCCACATCTTAGGACTAATCTCCTGGAAACCACCAATGGGGACATGGTCTGCACCCGTCAAGATTCCTGAAAACAATTTGCATCGAAGATGAATAATCGGTATCCATTTTTCTTAAAGTAGAGTACTGGTAATGGAAACGTAGTGACCACAAAACTGGTAATTTATCATCATAAAATGTGTGTTGGATACTAAGATGTCAAATGTCAAATCAATAAGTTTCTATTACTTGGCCCATTTGGAAGAATTCGGGTGTTAAAAAACTCTCATCCTATACCCTTTTCGGGGCAGAAACCGTTGAATGACTTGTTTAAATCTTGTAACTGCCTACCGCCCTCTCTCGGTTAAATA